ATTCCATAAGTACTTCACCAGGTTCAGTTCCGCAAAAAGACAAAAAATGCAGATTATTAGAAAGTTAAACCACAGTATAGTGCATCAGTTAGTTACAAAACTGAAAACGCTTAGTTCTTTTTCTTTTCCGCTTTTTTCACTCCTTTTGCTGTATAAGTGTCAAAGCAAAAAGAAATTCATGGTTACTGGATGGTGCAAAAATTAAGCAAAAAAAAATTTTTCTAATTGGAAGTATCTATTATTTCTGTACAACGTTATTTTTGCAACCACAGACTGATGTATTACCACTGGAGTACTGTGTAAATACAGAGCAAATTACTGCAAAAACTTTGTACTTGAAGGTTTGGCCGTTAAAAGCAATCGCTGGCTGAATTTATAATTATTACAGTTTTCTGAAAAAATGTTTGTTTTATTTTATTGACATTATGGTGATGCAATTTTGAGTACTTTTAGTATTTAGTCAATGGATATCGACTTGTAAAAACTGCGGAATAAATAAGTTAAAAAATTGTTTTTTAGAGGCGGAAAGGTTTCTTTTTTTTTTTGGAACTAACTGAAAAATTTTGAAATTGTGCAGTAGCAAATCTTACGTTATCAATGCAACAAGTCTAGTTTGGTTTATCTTTTTGGATTTGTTGTGGAAACAACAGTTGAAAGAAAGGATGGCTATTTATCTGAGAAAACAAATTTGAAAACTGCCCGGAACCCTTCCTTACTCAGTCCTTTCATCTTCAATTCATTTATTTTTGTTAGACTGCAACAATTCAATTGTTTATATTTTGCTTTACGGCCATGTTTTATGTGACGTGAAAAAAGTAGTCTATAAGAATTCAGAAGGGGGAGCTGAGAAAATCAAGAATGACATAATACCTTGGCTATAACACGAAGAAGACTGAGTTTTAATATTTTCACACTCGTAGTAAGAAAGCAATAAATTTCTAAGACAAGTAAAAAGGCTAGGCATAGGAAACATGGCTCTGTTTGAAAAATTTATAACTTGACAAAAAATGTCGTTGAAAGGAACTTAGATTTTGGAATTTTTTAATAAGAATAAATCGTATTTTTAGAAAAGTTAAAATTTTAATTGTGCTTCGCAAAGGCGCTACTCACATAATCAATCCACTGCCTTTTACTTCTGAAAATTTTATCGTTTCCAACCAAACAGTTGCTGCTTTTGGATTACGGCTACTGAGTGCAAAACAAGAATGATGAAAAAAAAAGCGATGATGATGGGAAAGGAAAAGAAAAATACTGCAAAAACAGTCGAGCATGAAATCAAACAG